AGCTTTGGTTGAAGGAAGACTCGTTTGGCCAGGATAGGCTGGCTGCCGAACACCAGGAAGGCTACTGCAAACAGAGGTCTGATCAAAATACGAAGAAAGACAAAAAAGCATGTTTTTACATCTTATAGATTAATTTGTGAAAACGGAACGAATTGTAGAGGAGGGACCATATTCCAAACAGATGATGAACTGTGATCAATGATATAAAAGATTCACAAGAGTGGATGAAAACTTGCATGCATACTAAATCTTGATAATTCAAGATACTCGAAAGCAGAAGTGTTTTAGGGGCTAAATTTTCTAGTGCTTATAATACATCCACAGGGGCATCCAAATAGATCAAAATTTTAAAGAATTACTATCCATCCGATTTTCAAAATTTCCCCAAAACTTTGCATTACCTTTAATACTAATATTCAACGATTAAAATAAGGCATGGAAATATATTTTGAATCATGCTTACACGACGACGTTGAGGAAGCCAGATACGAAAGCCCAAGCGTTCTGCATGAGGGGTATGACCACAGCGCCGCTTATCACATACAGGACCGCGAAGGAGGTCACATTCATTATGACGTAACCTGAAGAAGAGGGAACAGTTTGGGTGTAACAATTTGAAGACAAAATTGTTGTTCAGGGCGAGTAATATGAATTTAGGATTATAATCGTGTACACTCTTTAAAATCTTAAAATATTGAATTTTGTTATCTGAATAAAAAAAATAATAAAAAAAAGCTTAATTACGAGAAGAAAAAAAATATATATACGCTACACGCATCAGACAGTAGGCTTTCAACACACACAGACACCCACACAAATCAAAATTAAAGACAATAATTTCAACATTTTTGGGGGGAGGTGAAATGATTTTGTAGGCAATGTGCCTAAAGATGGGGCCGAATTACCGGAAAACCCCTCTCCAAAATGGAGGAAGGCACCGACTTTACTCTGCAGATGAAATACTAATTACTAGGCTACTAATTACCATGGCAACCGATTCATGGAGGGCATGAGAGGGGTTATATTATATTCTCCTCCAGTCTACTGTCTTCTTTCCCTCCCCCTTTCGCCATTCAATTAGTGAGGGGGCGTGTTCTTTAGGCTACGCTACCCGTTGTCGTCGTTTTCAGTTATCAAAATTATCTGCTACACTATGACCAAAGAGATGCTGGTATCTCTGTGCTATGACAACGCTTACCTGACAGATAATAGGCGATTTGAAATCCACAATATTGCAAGCTCCCAGTCTGAAAAGAACAAGCAAATAAAATAACATTGTAAATATATTTAAATAAACATTACAAAAAAAATCATAATAAACATAGGCATATATCAAATTTGTAATTGTAATCAAACATTTAATATTTCCAAGGGAATAAGTTCTTACCATACTCTTCACAGAGTTGAGGGGCGCATCTGGTAAGAATTGCCGATCTCCCTTGTACAGCCTCAAAACGTGTTTTCTGAATGGGTGATTTGAAATTATGAAACATAAAAACCTTCAGTGATGAAAAACAGCTGGCAACCCTGATAACTAAATATAATTTTTTCTTCACTTTTTCATGTGCCTTTTTTAAAATAAAATTGATGTCGGTAGCATACTTAGGTACACATGCACATAGGCCTATACAATTTTAGAAATTGTAAAAACATTTTAGCTACAACATGGGATTTTTTTTAGCATTACATGGACATAAAATGAATGAATAGTTCATATTTTAAGGTTCAAGCACAATTAGGGGACATTGTTTGTGTACTGAATGAATCCGATTTTGTTTTTGCCACTACGTGCACATATAACATTTTATAAATTATAAAAACATTTTACCTATCACATATGATTTGTTGGCATAAAACGGACATAAAATTAACGAACAGTTCATATTTCAGTATTCATTAACATTATTTGAAGCAGTTTTGGATAATCAACTCATCAAAAAAAAAAAACTTAGACCGCGGTATTTGTGTAATCCGTATATCGCCTTATACTGTTTACTCCTATAATATCTTTTTTCGCACAATATGTTTTATAGGGCCTATACAAGTAAAACATACTCTTTAAAAAAAAAGTATAGAAAAGAAATTATTTTACCTGAAACATACGAAGATGTGCGTGATATAAGAGAGAGATATAGCGATGGACAACGCACAGGCCAGGTACCATGATACTGTGAGAAAAGAAGACGGAGACAAGTATTAGGGGTGTGATGAAGAAGAGAGAGAGAGAGAGAGAGTGAGAGAGAGAAAGGGGGTAGGGCCGGAGGGGCAGGTAGGGAGAGAAATGGGGAAGGAGGGTAGAGAAAAGAGCGTGATAGGGAATTTTTTGTAGTTATAATTTAAGAATGTTTTTTTAAGAAATTCAGCAGCTTACCCACAAGATCACAATCAAAATCATTTAAAATGTTGCAGACAATTGCAAAATTTGAAAAGAAAGGTTCAGCTCCTTCCAGTTCAATCCATTTATCGATTTGACACAAAACTGGAGAATATGTTTACGATTGAAAAGAAGACTGAGAATCATTTTTCAAAAATTAGTATTTACCATGAGCCGCCATTTCATAGCGATCTAGGGCTAGGTATGTCTGGTTGGCTGTGGCAGGTGGTATTTCCTCACTTATCACAAAGACGGTGTACCATTCTCGAAACTTCATGAAAGCCCTACTAAGAGCTTGGTCTATGCCATATGTGGTCCTGATAGCAACCTGTACATTAAAAGAAAACAAAGGTTCAAGATGAAAAGCCATTGTTGAGAACCCGAGGAAAGTGCTGTGGATTGGTTTATCATAAATAATGTATGTGTATATTTAAGTATTATTTTCAAATTCACATAAACTTTGGAAGTGTGATCTTGATTAAATTCAACATCATTGCTCGATTTCATCACAAATATTTTACCTAATGATAAACTACATAGCTCAACCCAAAAGACAAATACGAAGAAGAGAGGTAAACAATAATCACTTGAGATAAAACTAAAAGAAGAAAGGACTGAATTAAAATGTATATAAGAATATACTGAAATAAGGATTAAGTTACTGTATGGGGATTTTTTTTCTTCTTCTGTAGAAGCACGAATGCCACTTTTGTTCTACTACTACTACTACTACTACTACTACTACTACTACTCCTACTAATACTAATAATAATACAGAAAAAATGATAACAATAATAATGATAATAATAATAATAATGTCCTCCATAGCGCCTGTATTGGCCAGCCCCAAATATAATACAGAATTAGTTAAACATTGTAGGTAAACTGCTCGCATTATTATTGAGAGTGGGTCCATGAAATACAATATTTTGTATTCTGTTTTAGAGTGTCTACTTCCTTGCAGAATATAATATTCTGCAAACAATAATTCTGCAAACAATAATAATTCTGCAAACAATAATTGTTTGATATATGAACATAAAACAATTATCACGAGGCTCAATTGTCGAGACGTTTACGGTTATCCAAAAATCAAGATAAATGGATTATTCCATCCTCGAAACAAAATTCCATCTTATAGAACTCAGCATAACAATACCAAATGCAAACTTGAGCTTTCAATGTCTAGTACTATAATAATGATGACTGTGATAATTATTTACCTGATATTCACAAAGTACAGCAACAACAAAGGTGCAGATAATTCTTGTTGGGTAGATGAAGTTCTGCGTTGGTTCATACCAGTGATACGCTATCTGCTCCCACTTCTTCGTGTAGATTCTGGAAAAGTCGATATTAGTTGAATTAATAAGTAATTTTAGTAATTATAGTGAATATTTTTTGTTGATTAATTTTAATGAATATTGTAATTTAGCTACGGTGGACTTGAAGCCTCGCCCTTAGTCTTCAAGTTTACTACTAAAGCCCCTTTGTTTTTATAGTATTACACATTTATGATTTATCTTGGAAGCTTAAAGACAAAACCTGTGCCATATCTTTTTGATATCAAGTTGTTTGTATATGTTCCAACTGTGTTTATTTTGATCAATATTAAAATGTTTTAAAAAAGATGGAATTATCTGAAATAAATTGAAATAAGATATTTTTTTCACTTTCGTTCTATTCAATTAGTCTTCATGACGGTTTAAAGTCCTGGTCATAATTTGTACGATTTTATTTTTCTACCTTTTCTTTCTATAATGTCATTTTACAGAAATAATTCCGTATTTTTCAGCTCACGAGGAAATTCTCCATGAAAAACACACGACTTCCTTCACTCCGGTCCGTGTCTACTTAGACATAATTCGAACCTAGATTTCTTGTTGTCGCGGGCAGCGTTGCCTTTGAGTTCCAAGATTTCGGCAGTGAGGTATACTAAGATGGCAGCCATATTTTATTGATACTAAACAATGTTTTGTTAATACCAAACAAGGTTTTATATGAACACCAAACAAAATGTTAAGATACTTTGGAGGAAGCGGTGGTCGTAGAAGAGCCTGCACGTGCTGCGCGTGGTAAGACTGCATCAATTTCTCTTCACTCTAAAAACAAAGACAAAAATGTGACAAAGGTCCTTGTTATAATTATTCTTCAATTCCATGCAGTATATTCATCTAAAATTTTACACGATCATAGTTTTTACAGAATAGTTTTTACAAGAAGATGCGCATTCGGTAGTATGCAGATGAAGGTTCGAAGGTTGCCAGAGGGGTGGCGTAACGCCCCCCCCCCAACAAAAAAATCCACTCCCTTGCAGAAACATATGGAAAGGATAATGGGGGTCGGAATCTTTTGTTATGCATGTATAGAAATACACAAATTTATTATAAAAACTGGATCAATAATTTATTGTCATGATTATATGGTTTTAATCTTTATGTTTGCTTTTCTGCTTGTGTTTGTATTTGTAACAGTTTTTTTTAAACACTTTTATTATTATTATGGAAAATATTTATACAAAAGGGGGGACGGAGGGGGTTGCGCATACCACTTTGCTTCTACACCCCCCCCCCCCCCTCCTACCGCCCTACCTCCCATGCCTGCAGTGTTAATGTTCTGGTGAAATGAATACTTAATAATTTTCTAAAAACCTATCACCTAATCCATCCATTGATGAATCAATCAATCAATCAATAATTGTGGATCAATGTGGATTAATAGAGGACTTACCGATATCTTTGTGTTCTGTATCTTCCTCATTATGGAATAGATGAGGAAGTAAAGAAACCTGATCATGAGGAGGAACGTGAAGACGAGCACGGGAAGCTGGATGACGACGCTCTCGTATGGAAAACCCTGCATGGATCGAGAAAGAAGAATTGATACACTACCTTTTCCTCTCTGCCTCGCCTCTCTCTCTCTCTCTCTCTCTCTCTCTCTCTCTCTCCCTTATTTCCGTATCGTTAGTCTCCTTTCCTTTCTCCCTTTTTCTTCATCTTCTTTCTTTCCTTCAAACTCCTCTATACTTCAATTTTGTTTTCTTCTTTTACTCCTTCTTAATTCCTGCTCCTCCACCTCCTGCTCCTCCTGCTCCTCCTGCTCCTCCTCTTAATATTTATACTTTTTTCCTTCTTCCCCTTCTTCTTTTTCTTCTTTTCTTCTTTTCTTCTCCTTCTTCTTCTTCTTCTTCTTCTTCTTCTTCTTCTTATTCTCCTCCCCCTTCTTCTTCTTCTTCTTCTTCTTTATTCTTCTTCTTCCTCTTCTTCTTCTTCTTCTTCTTCTTCTTCTTCTTCTTCTTCTCATTCTCCTTTAGGACCCGAACGCTTCCTGTTGCCTTTCTTGCCCATCTTCTTCACCCCCTCCTCCTCCTCCTCCCTTTCCTCCCCCTCCTCCACTACTTCTTTGTATTCTTCTGTTCTTGGTCTATCCAATTAAACTGACATAAAACTTTACAAAATATTATACAAAAAATATATTATACCTCTCCTCCGTCAATATTTGGACAGGTGATGATGTGTGCTAACTGCACAGAGAACCTTGGTAATACAAAACAAAGCATAAAGTCAAATAATTATTAGCCACTCATTCTTTTACACTTATTCAATCTTTCAGAATCGTTTTTGGTTTTCATTCAGTAAGTTGAAAAAACCTTGAAAAATGCATAAAGAACATTTGACTTAAATCAAATCAAATCAAAAGAAAAAAATGTCAGTTTGGTACAGTATCAAGAAAGTAATAAGTTTCATCTAACTATAAACCGATTGCAAAATTCATTCAAAGTTTACTCTTTAAAAAACAAGTTACATTTTTCGAAGCAACAAGTGAAATCCATTAAAAATAATGTTATTCTGAGAACTTAGTATAAATCCGAATGCAGAGGTACAGAGGTATACTGAGGGGCTTCACTAAATTTGCATTTCATTAGTTTTTCATTTGTTATTGTTTGTTAAGAGGTTTGTTGCTTTTCTATGTAGTCTTTCTTTTCTTTCGTTTAGCATAAGTCAGGCGCGGATCCAGGGGGCCGGGCGGGCCTTGCCCCCCCCCCCCCCCGCTAAAAAAAGAGAGGGAGAGAGAGAAGGAAAAGAAGGGAAGGAGGAGAAAAAGGGAAAGAAGAAGACGAAGAAGAAAAGAAAGGGGGACAAGAAGGAGATCGGGGGGCCGAAAGGGCCTTGCCTCCCAGCTGTTACCTCCCCCCCCCCCCCCCCCATTAAAAAATAAGAGAGAAGGAAGCTAGGTAAGGGACAGAAAAAGGAAAAGAGGAGATAAAGGGAAGGACAAAAGAGGAAGAAGAAAAGAAAAGAAATTTTCCGGCCAACAAGTTGTAGTTCGGGAATGGGGGGGGGGGGGGCAAAAGGCCCTTGTAGGGGAGATCAGTTACGATTTTTTTTCCGCCAACAAGGTGTAGTTCGAGGGGGGAGGGCCACTGGCGTACTGATGGGGGGGGGGGTGACAGATGCCCCCCAAATATAATTCAAACGTGGTTTATTTCTAATTCGATACTGGTGATTTACAAAAGAAGGAAGAATAGTGACCTACCTTTGTCACAAAATAATAAGGTATCAAAATTTGCTCATCTGACCGTGATTAAATGTCTAAAAACCCCTGAGATTCCTGTGGCTCTGCCCCCTGGACCCAACCTAGGGCCCTAAGTCGGACCCCTGGATGCTAATCTGACGGTAATTTAATGCTTAAAACTCCTGAGCTTCTGGGGTCTCAGCCCCCTGGACCTCACGCCAATTAGTGTCCTGCCAGTGTCACAAATAAGGTATCAAAATATGTTCATCTGACCGTAATTAAATGCCTAAAAGCCCTGAGCTTCCGGGGCTCCGCCCCCTCGACCCCACCAGGGGCCCCAAGGCGGCCCCTGCATGCTTATCTGACCGTTATAAAATGCCTAAAACCCCTGAGCTTCTGGGGGCTCCGCCCCGTGGACCCCACGCCAATTAGTGACCTGCCAGTGTCACAAATAAGGTATCATTATGCTCATGTGACCGTAATTAAATGCCTAAACCCCTGAGCTTCTGGGGGCTCCACCTCTTGACCCCCACAGGGGCTTCGCCCTTAGACCCCACGCCAATTTACGCAACGCTCTACTGCTCGTAAATACCTACCCCCCCCCCAACTTAGAGAAACGTTCAGCGGGGCCTGCATGCTCAAGAGTGAGGTGGTGCGGATTTTCTTTTGGTCTACCCCCCCCCCCCCGTCCCCAAACATTTTTGCTCATTTCGCCACTGCCGGTGTCACCATTACGTACCCATATTTTGCTCGCATAATTTCAAATTTTGCCCCCCCCCCCTAAGAAATCCTGGATCCGCGCCTGGCATTAGTACCGCATTTGTCGACAAGCCATTTCCCAACGTGACAATAGTTCTAAGATGTTTAAATTTGGCACAATTGAGGTGATGAGTACAACATCCTCCATACATCCCCTCCCACCGACACGCCCATGAGAAACCTCGTCTATAATCATCACCGACTTCGTGATCATCGCATACCATATGGCTACGTAGATGAACCCGAGGAGAGAGCCGACTAAGGCTGATGGCGAGGAGATACAGGCAAAGAATGGAAAGAGAATGGTCCCGAGCTCAATGGTCGCCACAAGACCCAGGAAAACTAAAAGATATAAAGGGCATATTATCTGTTGAGTGAGAGTCAGAAGTGTGTTATTCATACCATTTGCATGACTGACTTTTTTTTAAAGACGAAATATATGAGAGAGAGGATTTGAAACTCAAAGTCGTTAAAACAGGTCCTATTCTCCCCCCCCCCCCCCACATTTTTTTTTTTGGGGGGAGGGGTCCTTTCAACTTTCTTTAATTTCTGAAGATATATATTGATTAATATAAGGAAGAGGAGAAGACCAATCATACTGCAGCTGTTTACCTCTCACGTATCATACTTGATCAAATAAAAAAAGCGAAACTAAATGAGAAAAAAAGAGGTGAACAATAAATTAATGACAAGCTGTGATTAAGTTGGTTTCCTTCTCTACTATCAGACGCGATATAAGTAGGCCTATATACATTCTTCTAGCTGTGTAGGCCATTTGATATTTTTTCATTTCAAAATACTGTTTTCGAGTAATCAATGAATATACTATATTAATCTAACACTATGGCTACTCATAAAACCCTGATATTACAATGATTATCTTCTAAAATAGGGAATCTTGGAAAAATATAGAACATGACATCTTACTTTTGAGCCATGGTTCGACGGTGTCTGTGTTGAGATAGAGACTGGTGTAGTCCCCTGAGAATAGATCGAAGATGATGGAGGCTGTGGCGCCGAAAGCCAAGGCATGCGACCACCGATGCTCGTGGTCATCGAGCAGGTTGATGGGACTGGAGAGAAATAAGTTTGTAATTATTAAAGATCATCATTTTCTTTATTCAATCCCTAACATTATCGACTTAACCGTGCATTCCTAAGTATTCCTAAACTATTTTCAATGATACTGCGTAAGAAAAATGCAAACAATGTTGGGTGAAATTGCCCATGTCTATGGGTATAATAAAATATTGTTTTTCCGACCAACTTTAGGGCAATTTTATCCTAAGCTTGGATGGAGTTTTTAAATTGAGCAAAGAACAAATCAACCTAGGTTTAATGATGTTCGGTGAAGTGTTTTATGGCTCAGTAGTAAAGTAGCGTGATCTTGAGGGGTTCCAGCTTCGAAGCCAAGTCATTGCGCCAGTGCCCTTTGGGAAAGGGGTCACGTGCCGTGGGTTTTCATGTCCACTGGTTGCTTCTCTAATATACTTTCTTTCTTAGCAGTCGGGTGAATTCATTAATATCAAAACCAAAAGCAACAACACCATCAAAAGAAACGTCAACAGAAATATCAACGCCAACATCAGCAGCAACATCTACAGCAACATCACGTCAAAACCAACATCAAAACCAATAGCAACATCAAAAGCAACATCTTCATCTAAGTGGGAACATTTCTCCACTGGTTATTTACTTACAAGACAACGGCAAGATGTTTGATGCCAAAGAGTGATCTCAGGCGATAGTTGTACATCTTCCCAAAGAAGCTTAGAATCAGGAGAATTATCAGCTGGCATAGGATAAGACAGATAATCGGGGTTAGAGCTGAAAATTCAGTGGACCAGAGGTTTAATCAAGAGCTTAAATCACTCCTTGTCATTCTTTCTTTGAACAAAAGCATACTTAAATATTCGCGTAGAAAAACTAAAAAATAGTGAAATTAATGTACAGGAGCGACAAAATATTTGTTTTACTTGAAAGAGGGCCGAGTTACATTCTCTGAAAGGAACGACAATAACACTTAAAATGATTTATAGATGGAATCAGGGTTTTCAGAACGGGGGGGGGGGGGGTGAGAGGGGTAAGATAAGGGCATCGATTATTATTATTATTATTTTATTTTTTATTTTTTATTTTTTTTGGGGGGGGGACATTTTCTCTCTCTTTAAATGTGTTTTTACACACATTAAACAAAACAGATTCAAGCAGGAGACAGAAGTTTTGCATTCAAGAAAAATATTGTTATTAACAATTTGGTGGAAATTTGGTGGAAAAGCATTCCTCTATAATTAAAAAGAGAGGCGACTGCGGTGGAAACTCTTTGATAAAGGTAGCGGGGGGCAAATAAGGGTAAATGATCCATTATTACTTGGAGTCACCGCTGAGCTTTATCATTCTCTTGCTTTCTTACCGAGGGTGGTAAACAACAATGAATGAAGAGTGTCCAGTCGGGGCCACGGGTGCAGTTTGTAGAGGCGGTCAGTTGTACATTTGGGGGCGATGGGGTACTGTTGTCCCCATTGTGAAGTCCGCTGAAGATGCCCATTACTCTACCAACATCCATGGTAATTATCTGCAAAGAGAGAGAGAAAGAGAGAGAGAGAGGGGGGAGAGAGAGAGAGGGAGAGAGAGAGAGGGAGAGAGAGAGAGGGAGAGAGAGAGTGAGAGAGAGAGAGAGAGAGAGATAGGGGAGGGAGAGAGAGAGAGAGAGAGAGAGAGAGAGAGAGGGGTAGAGAGAGGAGCCAGGGGGCAAGAAAGGGTTACAAAAAATGAATACGATCGAACAAACTCCAATAAATCATTAATAGGTAGTCTAGAGTCAATGTTAAAAAAAAAGATATTGAAAACTAGAAATCAAACAAAGCGATCATGTTAATGACCTCGCTTGGCGGTGGTGGTGGTGGGGGGGGGGGGGGTGGGGCCTAGGTAAGCACCTCTCCCTTCAAATAGCCTATCCCAAAAGAGAGAAGAGAATAGAAAAAATATAAGAGAAAATGAAAGCGGAAAGTGGAAAGGGAAGAGAAGTGAAGATAAAGAAAATATACTCTTTCCCTCCAATGTTTCTTTTTGTCGGTACAAATCAAGAGTCTTTCATTATTTTAAGGCTAGTGGGATTACTTTCATGATGTACCGTACTTTAATTGTATTTCGATTTTCTTCTTCTCAGAATATATCGTACTGATGACATTGTACTGATAAAACATTCGTCATAAAGTTCAAGGCTCTTTAATCTTTGAAAGTAAATATTAGCCATGTATGTCTATAGGCATATGCATATACACTGAGACGTAAGCTACATAAGAAAAAGGCCCTGTAGCAGAGAGGGGCAACAATTAAAAAAGAAAGAAGAAAAGTGATCATTACATTTCAGGTTCAATGGGTGTCATAAACCCAATACAGGGACATTTTCTGTGGACTTAATGTAACCATGCTCAATGTGTATTAAATGGGGGGGGGGGGCATGGGCCGACTGCACCCCCCCCCCCACAAAGAAAATACAAAATATTATAGTATATGCAGATAATGCAGTACGTACGTAAGATAAATAGCAATTTAAAAACAACTAAAAAAACATGCATGATTGCTTAAACTTCTACAAGTATATCCAATCTTTGACACTCCATCCATCATTTCAGCAAACTGAATTATAAATCAACTTACCGTTCATAAATCATGCATGTAGACAATTATAATACCTACACACCAGCTCCATCAATACGGCTATGCATTCGACCGACACTCAGGCTCTAGCATGCATCATTCCAATAACACATCGAGGTATATATTCGTATGAGTCAAAATCACGAGACACAAGTCACCATCGAGTCTTCATGCATCTACAATACAACAATCACAAGAACACCATATACCTTACCTTCGTCACAGAACAAAAACTGAAGAACTGTTTGAAGAGTCCACTATAATAATGTTTAATCAAAAATCAGATGACAAATACAAGCGAAACCAGGCTTCTGTGCGTCCTAATGACTAGTCCTATACACGACATCCGCAAACATTATGTGCATAAATCATTCATGGAAAGTACCTCACACAGTCATGTCATGTTCAAAGTTTGGTCTCTCAAGATTATATTTGAAATACACAGTAACCTTTGGCATTGTGTAGGGAAAAAAATGGGTAATTTCAGAATGTTAATGTCGCCTCGTGGTGGTTCTTCCTTGTATATAGTTAATGAGCAACTGGATTAAAGGTTATTATGGAGATAGATAAGAAGATTGTGTATATTACGTTTGGTTTGGTATTTACTCATCGTATCGGTAAAATGGCGCAACTGGCGTAGCTGGGGTGAGTCATGTGTGACAACTCCCACCCCCTCCATCCCCCAGAAAAAAGCACACACACTTATTGCTTTCTTGGGCAGTTACTTGGGGGCTGGGGGGGGGGGGATATCGTCCATGGTTATCAACTTAATTTATGTCCTTTCATTCTTTTTTTTTAAATGACACAAACTTGAAATGTAAAACGCCAGGGCTTGAAAAATAGGCTTGACTACTTCAAGAGAACAGGAACCAAAAGTATTACACAACTTCCTTCTTTTTTTTTTTAGATTTTGCTTTGCCTTTCTTGTTTTTTTTAAATGACACAAACTTGAAATGTAAAACGCCAGGGCTTGAAAAATAGGCTTGACTACTTCAAGAGAACAGGAACCAAAAGTATTACATGATTAATTATCTTGTTCACATAATTATCAGGGTAATCTATTTCCCTCTATCTCTATCAGGCGCGTAGCCAGGTAGCCAAAGTAGCCACAAAAAAAACCGCCGGCCCCCCAAAAAAGAGAGAGAAAGAGAAGAAAAAAAGTAAGAGGACGTAGGAAGAAAAAGGGAAAAGAGACGAAAACGGTACAACGAATCGTCTTCCTTCTCTAATAATTTAATGAAACGTCAAAACTTTCGCGCTTCGCGCGTGAGGGGGACTGAATACAGATAAGGAATAAGGGTCGAGGAAGGTACAACGAATCGTCTTCTTTTTCTAATAATACGTCAAAGCTTCCGCGCTATGCGCAGGAGGGGCGGACTGAATTCAGACAAGGATTATGAGTCGAGAAAGGCACAACAAATCGTCTTCTTTCAAAACTCCCCCCTCCCTGCACCCCCCCCCCCCCCCCCCCCTCGGGGGGTGGGTGCAGGACTTACGCGCTCTTTAAGGGATTCGCACGAAAAACGAAATCCTGGCTACACGCTTGATCTCTATCTCTACCTCTTTCCCTCTTCCTCTCTCTCTCTGTCTCTCTCTCTCTGTCTCTCTCTCTCTCCCTCTCTCTCCCTCTATCTCTCCCCCTCTCTCTTGTCTCCCTATATTCTTCCGTCCTTCCTTCTTTTCTTTTCTTTTCATTCTTTTGTTCCTCTTCTTTCTGTCTATCTCCCTCTGTTCTCTCCTTCCAATTATTTATCCTATCGTGTTCGTCTCCTTTTCTTCTCACTAAACAAGTCTTTTCCAGGAAAATCAATGTTTTGCTATATAGTGCATTATTGCCCCCCCCCCCTCACGGAAGCCTTATGGAAAATGGAACCCTATATTATTACCCCTACATAAAATGTATTACATGTGAACATGACTTTATTAATGCAGAAGAACTTCCGATCCCTTCCACTCCAATGGCCCTGGTTTTGAACTTTGCTCCCTGTAAGCTTTTAGGTATGTCAAAAAGTTCGGTGTGTTTACTCCTGCAAGGAGTAAGTCCAAACAGTGGATAATCATGAAGATATTCTAATAACCAACTCTTTAATCTTTCTCTTTCGTTTAGGGGTTTAAAGATGAAGTTGATTTCTGGTCATGCGATTGTACTGTGAAAGAAACGGTGTGGAATCGATCAGAAAAAGTCGATCATGTAGCATTATTATAAGAGAGAGAGATCTTTGCATTTTTCAAGAGGTAAAGGTATTGTCTGCAAGGTTCTGGAGTCATCGGGCCTCATTTTTTAGGATTTTACTTGTCACATTTAGAATATGGAGGCATTTGAAGTGCCATGCTTTTCAGGGAATATTTTTTCTCTGATTTTCGTCCTCACTTGCACAATAACAATGATAACGCTCACAAGTTATTTTTCACCTCTCCCCAGCACTCAACCCTTTCTTTAAACTCAGCTTTTGCTAGCTATTATACATCACACCCCATTGTTATCTCAGTGTACAAAAATGAGGGCGCTGTTAAACTCTGTGCAGGATGAGAGTTCATCACTCCGTACCCATATCGCCCTATAATGTGAAAAATGCCCCTATAATGGCTAATCAGTTCTCCTCGGATCAGTTGATTTTCCTGTTACATAATGTATTGACCCTTTGCTGGAAATGCTCAGAAATTGTCCCTGCTCAGATATTTGCTTATTTTTGTATTTTGAAACATGTTTTATGGCTTAGTAGTAGAGTAGGGGAAACATGTGCGGTTCAAATAGTAAATAGAATGGGGAGGGGGGGGGGGGGGGTGAAATAACAACCACCACCACCACCACAACAACAACTATAACAACAATACAAAAAACAGCAGTAGTTAAAAATATACACATATCCGCCCCTATCATTATCATTATCATTATTATCAAATATCTTTTGGATTGGATTGGATTATTATAACACAGCGATTCCAAAAATATCTAGGCCTGCTACTAGTCTGATGATAAAAGAATGTAAAATCAAAACATAAATCGACAATCCTCTCGTGCACGTTTTTTTTTTCATGCAAAAAATGTCAATAGCTTATTGGCATCTTAATGATCAATGTTTCAAGATATAGCAGGAGGTCACATTCCTTTGGAAGAAAATATAAATAAAAGGCTGCGGAAATATACAAAGAAGATTTCATAGTGACAGTGCATGGTCACTCCCACTAAACTACTGTCTTAACCCACCGAGACAAAAAGCCTTATCCATTCCTCCGCTAAATCTATTATGACGTGTAGAACTACTATTGGATGAGTATGACCTAAGGAATTTACGAGGTAAACCCCCGCGATTTGGGTTTGTTTTGGTGCGCAACCGATCTGGTGTCATATCTCGGTACTACACTGCAGGAGCTGATGATTACATAGTTTAGCAATAAGGGAGCTCAGTCTTTTTGTCTCGTGAATTTTCATAGTCTGATAAAGAGACATTTTAAAATTTTGGTTTGTAAAAGCCAATCATGTTTTATTATGACGTGGATTAATACAAATCAAAAATGTTATTAGAATAATTTTTAACGCAATAATATACTTCACATATTCAAAATTGTATACAATCTTTTTATTCTTATCTAAATTTATATGGTAATTGATTTAAAAAGTTTTGTATGAACGACTACGTTCACGACGTCAACTCTGCCACGTTGGAACCTGACGCAATAATCTATTTTTAGAACTCACAATCTACATACGGTTAACACTAGAGCTCATTCAGCATCTTGACACAGTCGTTTGAGGTTGAATTTTGCATTTGCTGCTCGAATTCTGTTAAAGAAACGTGGGACTACTATTTCATTGATTGGCTTAGATTGCTGGTATGTTGTTACAACACTCGATACGCTTCTGTAGTAGATAATTACGCAAGAATTATGGCATGCGATTAGCAATGCATTGAAATACAATGCCAATGCCAATGGCAATGGCCAATGCATTTGCATTTTGCAGTGCTTGTTGACATTCATTTCATTTCATTTGTTGATGTCGATTTTACAAACCCAGTTGCATGCAATATCTTGCTGATTCTGGGCATAAAATTTCAATGGCATCTATTGCTGCACTTTGTCATCGGTTTGCATTGAATAATTTTAGCGTAAATACGTTGAATACGGTTCACAATTTTGTTACATGTTGATGTTTGACTTTGATTTGAGTTTGAGTTTGCAATGAATGACCAACTCATGAACATGACTTTGACTCTTTCGAGTTTAACATTAATTAAGGTGAGTGATTATTTTGAAAGATAGTGATGATGATTGATGCATATTGTCATGATTGTTGATGATGATGATGTTTCGTTGTAAAAGAATAGCGATCGAGTCAGCGAGGATTTGGACATGATTGACCTCGCTCAAGCTTGATCTTGAGATCTAGGCTACTAGCGTAATTAAGTAGAATCTTAAGATTTGTTTTCAGTGGTTTTACTTTTAGATTATTATTTTTTTTTTATAAATTTATTTATTATGATAAGTCTTTGTTGTGACAAATGTTTTCCAGAATGTACAGTGCAGTATATTACTCGATGTGACAATTATTAAACAACACTCTGCTCATGATCATGTGGAGCGGGTTGTCCTTGCTTCGAATGAACTTGTGATTGGTATGTTCATACTGCAACATGATATATCTTTTAAACCATGTAAACTGTGAAACTTCAAATTCTTTTCAGATTGAGATCCAACTTAACTTAGAATTAAGTTAATCCTACTCAAATAAAAAATTGAAATTCGCATTTCTACCTAGTTTTGAAATAGGCCTACATGAAATTACTTTATTCATGTAATTCCTTTGCATTCTCCTCAGTATTCAGCATATCTCCGATAAGAAACCATAGCAAGCAGATTAGCCATGTCTACTGGTATAGAACAACTGGGACAGATGTCTCAAAGACAGGATAGACTGTCTACCTCGGAGGACTTGGACCTCTTGTTCGATGGCAGAGATCCGATTCTCTCGGACGAAATGATCTTCAGTCTGGATATCATCCAAGACAGTCAAGATGGCGGCCTTTCCTTCGCTAACTCATTTGATCTGGTAAGCATCAATTTGGAAATGGTTGGACCACAGTTTTCAATAAGGAAATCTATTTTCACCAAAAGATGTTTCATGTTAGGAGGCTGCCATTTCCAACCTTCTTTGTTTAAAAAGCCTTGATCTTGACAATTTACAATCTTGTATATAAACACTCTATCTTGAAATACAGATTCAATTCTAACAAGTTGCATATAAAACATGGTGAGAATAAAGTTCAACAATTATACATGTATATGTACAGTGAATATATTTTTCCCACCATGGTAGGTGTAGGCCTACATGTAAACAGATGATTTAGTTTGTTGAAATATACATGTAGTTACCCCTTCAAGAGTATTTATTGTATGTGATGAAGTATTCGTCTTAATCTCAATTTCTTTGTTCAACTCAAATTTAAAATAGCTGGATAGTGGAGATATACATACATGTAGATTAAACTTGCTTCTGGTAAATGAAGCCAGTAAATATTGGCAAACATTTTCAAAGGGTCTGAATTTATATACATGTATATGTACCAGAAACCTTTATATTTTCAGGAGTTAATGGCTCTCTAGGCCCATAGTCTTTTTGCTCTCTCTCACAACAAGTCGCATCTTTTTCTTATCCTTCTAGGACGATACTGACATTCTAGAGAGTCTGATGAAGCCAGACGACACAACAGAAACCAACATCGACTGCGTCCCCTCCCCGGACTTCCACCTCAGATCACCCCTAAACAGCGACAGTGGAATATCCGATGACCAGAGGTCACCTGCCAGCAGCCACGAGGGTGAGGGTCACGTGACTGACCTGACGCTAGATATGATGGACATGTCCACTTTCTTGGTGGGTTCCGATGCCATGTTGACCATCGACACAGGGTCCACAACAGTAGACAGCTCTGGTATGGATAGTCCTGACAGTTTCACAGATGCAGGTAAGAAAAGAAGGTTGCATACATTACAAAATTTAAATAACTAGTCTCTTTTGCCTGAATTTTAACTAAAGAATTCCGTAGGAACCCCTCACTTACTACACTTTTATTTTTATTGCAAAGGCCTACATGTAGTTGTATGATAGAAACATGAATTCCTTATTAAGCTAAACTAATTGAAGTAAAACTATGAGCATTTCCTATCAAAATACAACATGCAATCAGCACATGAAATTTGAAGATTGCAAAGGAATTATTGCAAATGTTGTAATATTACATTATATTGAAGGAAAAGTAAGACATGTACTTGAATTTAATTTGAGACATGGTAGTCCAGGAATTTTATTTGAGGTAAATTTTGCATCCAGATTTAGTACAACTTCAGTAAATTGAATATTACACCAGTGCAGTAAGTCTCAAATGCATATGTTATGTTAAGTCATTTTCTGATGCATTTACACAATGTCTTCTGCAACTAGATGATTATAAAATTGTGTTTCCTCTCTTCCGTCATCAGCTTTCACACACACTATCTCTTCATCACCTACTGGTTCAAGCAAGAACATCTTACCGATGACCCAGAAGGATGTTTCTATCTCAGAAAAGGTAAGAAATGAGACAAAATCCTCTTTGAAAATTTTCTCACCTTTTCTTCTGGAAAACAAATTATTGAACATGCATGTATTGTTTTGTAGTTATCAACTTCATATATAGAGAATATTAGAGAAAGCTTTTTAAAAATCAGTTATTATACCGGGAGGAGAGACCTAAGGGTTACAGTGATACAGTTTGCTTTTCGCCTCCCAAGCACAGGTGACTCCAAATACTTGATAATAATAATAAAATACATGGACATGCCAGTGACAAAAAATTTGTTCTCTGGAGCTCTTTTAGGATTTGGTGTTGTGTAAGTGCGGTATTCTCACTGTAACTTTGAAAATTAATATGTCATTTGCTAAAAGGCCATTAAGAATTTATGGAGGTGTCTTTTTACCGCTAGGTAAAGCAAACAACAATGAGCATGAAAATGGTACCATACATACATCTAGCATTCCTATTTCATTTTTTGTCATGCCATTAAAACTTCTTATTTTCATCTTTTGCAGCTCCATCCCATGCTTGTATTGAATGAGGAGGAGAAGAGATTACTGAAAGAAATGAGCGTCACTCTCCCGACAGATGTTCCTCTCACAAGGGTAAATATTTTGACCTAATTATCCAATAAATTATTTGTACAGGCCGTCTCTCCTCTGTATGCTGTTCGGGATTTGTGTTTGTTCTCTGTAATTGGTTTTCACATTATACATGTACATCTGTTTGTGTTTGTAGAAGGAATTAGAATGAGGTGCAGGAGAGTATTGTTCCTCTTCCATTCCCCCTACCCCCATTTTGAACGTACTAATCCTGTAGCAACACATCTGGGACATAATTTTGTAGTCAGAATCGACCATCGGTTATCGGTTTGAGAACACGAGAGATTATCGGTTTGAGAACTCAAGAGATTATCGGTTTGAGAACACAAGAGATTATCGGTTTGAGACGCAAGAGATTATTGGTTTGAGAACACACAAGATTATCGGTTTGAGACGCAAGAGATTATTGGTTTGAGAACACAAGAGATTATCGGTTTTAATTTGATCTTTCTCACCATCATCAGGAGGAGGAGAGGAGTCTCAAGACGGTGAGGAGGAAGATCCGCAACAAGGCCTCCGCCCAGGAGAGCAGAAAGAAGAAGAAGGAGTACGTGGACGGCCTGGAGCACAGGGTGTCCACATGCACCAAGCAGAACAGAGACCTCGTCAAGAGAGTCCAGGAGTTAGAGAACAACAATCAGTAAGTCAGATCCCCGAGATTGATACCTGGCTAGTAGCCCTGGGGATCGTTTCTTGAAACCGTCATAAGTCTAACTTCTTGGACAACCCATAGAATGGTGTGTTATAAGATTAACACACGTATCAATGGGATGTCTACGAACTTAGACTTATGACGGTTTCGAGAAACAGGCCCCAGCTAGCTAACCCTTTAGCGCTGAAGGCATTCAAGGGATAAAATCCTACCAGTTACCCATTTACGACACCTGGGTGTAGAGTAGCAAATGTAGAATAATGTCATGCCAAAGACCATTAGTGCCACGGTGGGACTCAAACCACGAACCATACGATCCACTATAGACGATGATATCGCTAAATGTTGGTACATATTGACATGTACATGTACATCACCAAGCAACCTAATCACATGTCGGATCATTAATGGATACTACTAAGTCAACTGAATAATGGCTCCCTGCTGACTGTTGAGGGTCTCAGTGAGATTATTTCAGTTTCCAAGCATATATAGGCTAATTCATTATTTTCAACACATTTTAAATATTGCGTTATGATGCATGATATTTTATGAAGTGATACAAAATATGACATAACTAAACTGAAACTACACAACAGAAGTCTTCATTTAGATTTAGAAGTAATGACTAAATTTGGTATTTTTTCATATTCTTTCTTTCTCTCTGTTTGCAGAACACTTCTCGGTCAGCTTAGGAAACTCCAGAGCCTTGTTTCCAAGACCACAAGCAAAACGGCACAGGCCAGTACATGTATCATGGTAAGTTTGAGGAGTTTGCTTCCCAGATATATTTCTTTCCTATACCTAATTCAATCCTAAATATTATGTTCCTTGGTCATATTGAAAGATAAATGTGAGTCTGGCCCCGACAAAGAGTTGATATTAATCGCAACTTATTTGAGATTGATATCAATTGCAACTATGTACAGAAGAGATAGGGGCCCCCAAACTTTTGCTTGATTAGAGGACTTGCGATTGATGTGGATCAATTGCAACTCTTTGTAAGACGGACCTTGCTGGTCATGAAAGTGAATAGTGAAAGAAACTGTCAAGGAGTTATTGGCAACGATTGATTTTGTAGCACGGAAGAATAATTGTCTAGCTACAAAAAATGATACTGCGACATGCACTTCAGTCACCCAGATTGGACTGCACATGTGTGGCATCCAAATGACATCCGCAGTCTTAACCTGTTTCTAGTCAAATTAAAAATAAGCTGGCATTCCATGAGAAATCTTTTTCATGCGATGCTGATTCCACAACGAAATAAAATGGACGAGTCATCTTACCAATCATTTTGATACCAATACATTCCCAATAATTTGAAGTATGTACACTTCATGTATCTAATTTAAAGCCCCACTGCACTACTTATAGCTCCTTGCTCCCTCTATATAGCAAACAATGCCTAAGCAGTGACCATTGGTCCCCCATGGTCCCCTTTTTCTTATGTTAATTGAGAGCTGATTTGATGAGATAACCACCTGTCAGTTACTATGCGGGGAAGTCTAATCCCTCTTGGCCAAACCAATTGATATTGTAAATGATAAAATATTTCAATTCATGTTTTTTTTTCTGCAGGTTCTGTTGATGTCCTTTGCTCTCCTGGTAGCACCAAGGTACAACCCATTCAACGGAGACTCCTCTAGCCTTGGGTCATCTGCAGTCAAAGGTAAGCAAACGTTGCCAAGTTGACGGGTAATAGAGCACTTTCGCAAACATGACGGAAAGCAAAGATGACGATGACGAGAGCGAAAAAACAATCTGCGCATGCGGGAACCGGAATTTTCTCAGTCGTGTTCATTTTCACAACCCTACACGGCCATTATAGCGTTCGTTCCCTAAACACGACGGAAGAGCTGTCTCCCCGTAAATTTCTGGTCGTCGTTGCTTCTGTCGTGATTGCGAAAGCGCTCTAGTGTCCTCCTACAACTTCTCACCAATGGCAAGCTAATGTCACTGCTACAACACGGCCCCGTCACGTTCCTTATAGTACGTGTGTCATGCAGCATGTAACATCTTTTAGGAGATTCTTTTGAGTCTTGTACATGAGTATGTGTATTCATGTCAATATGCATACAGAAATGCAGCTGGAAATGTATCATATTTGTGGTATTGCAGTACCGGTAGTAGGAAAATGCATATTCTAATTTATATCTTCAGCGCTATTTCTGAAAAATTTTCAATTTTTGTTTTGAACTTTAACTTTCTTCCATGTTAAGTTAGACAATGTTTACAATGTACATCGGTGAAAGTTGATGGTATTCCATAAAAGGAGCAAGATTATGTTTTAGGTTAAATGTTCTTAAAAAATAAAACTTACTTTTACTTCTATGATCCTGATGGTAACGTTGTGATGTTTCTGTCTCCATTCTAACACTTACCACTGAGTTTAAATGGAAGGAGATACCTGCTTATTATCTGAAGATTATTACCAAGTCCCATTTATTTTGCTTTTTTCATCTGTGGAACTTATCTTTTCATTATTTTGTTCTTACAGGTTCTGCACGTACTCTCCTACACATCAAAGAACCTACTGAGTTTCCACTGGATGAGGACATCTCGCAGAGTCACTCGCCAAAGATGATCGTAAAATCACTTAACGCGGCAAACACGTCACCTGCTTTTGATGAGGAAGAGCGGATGGAAGAAGACGTAGGAATGAAGGACCCCGAGCTTTATCTGTTGCCGGTTGCTGTGGAAACTGAAGAACATGTGAATAGGTCGGATGTGCATACGGTGCAGCTGGACGGACACGTGGAGCAACACACAGAAAACCAGGCAGATCAGTACACGACGACAGTTGTGCAACGAAAAATACACCTGGTCAACGATGAGATGTAGCGCTTGAAAGCCAATAAAGACCTCAGTGACTTTCTTATATTGAAAGCTGATAGTACAAGTACTGTAAATGGAACTATGATGGAAGTCAGACACGGCATGACACAAAGGCGCAAAGTATTTGCTCCAGTCTTAATTTTTGCTAGTTTTTACTGTTTTTTGAAACCACAATGTCTTAGGATCTGTGAATGAAAGTACACCTGTATTTTTTCATGTATTCAAGATCAACCTATCCCCTTTGCTCTTCTGTGGATACCGTCAAACACTTCTTTAGCAATGATCCGTATAGAAAGTCACCTGTCTATAAAGACTGTACTTTATGTTTCTCATTGAACCTTGCGTTCAAGGAAACTTACCTGTCTATAGAGACCACTTTTAGTGGTTCCCTTTGGCGGGTCTTTCTGTACAGTTTGATTGTCATCACATCTCTACAAGTTGTTTGAAATACTGAGCCAGTGAGCCTGTGATGTTGTGCTTTTAGCTTGGTAGTTCACAAGGGAGTAACTACATTTCTCATGACACACAAATTCTCCTTTGAGTACTGGTATATGTATAAATTACAGCATGAATGCTTGAGAAGCTGTAACTTGTATGTATCAGAGCAGTTATGGACCACTTTCTATTTGGAAACTTGTTTTATTCACCTTGGGGGTTTAATTTTCTCAAAGTTTTCACAATCCCACAATTTTCAAACTCCTGTAGCGTAATTCAAAATGATGATAATTTTCGCACTTTCAGGTGTTTTCACAATACACAAATGTACCACTGATACTCTCTTTAGATTATATAGGTTCACAATAGTTCACTTTATTTAGGTTCATTTTGAAACAGTAATCTGGTCTTTAATTGATGTAGTACAGTTTCTCCTTATCTAACTTATCATCACTTCTGTTGATAAAAGTGCTCATAAATACATGTACATGTACATGAACAAATGAAGCAACCTAAACAAACTGTGTGCTTGAAATAGTTATCAAATAATGCTCATGAGTAATACAGTCATGTCATTGTTAAAATACAGAATGACATACAATTGTATTTAAAATCATAGATTCTTGTCTTGCGAGAGGACAAGAAAAAATATTAAAATGCTATGAATCTATTACAAATTCAAACTGTTAATCCCGTTCAATCATGCCATCCATTTCAGGTGCTCTTCATCTAATTATTAAAAACTAGTTTTCTTTGCAGTCATTAGGCTTCAAATGGCCTTACATTAATTTGTGTCCTTGCCAGAAACTAGGAATGGAAGTGTTAACACAACGTCCCATAGTTATATGATTCATTTTGAATGTTTTTAAAATCTTAAATGTGCAATTACTTATCATTATGCTTGGCCCTAATGATTAACTGTCCCTTAGGACTATTTGGAATAGGCCTACATGTAGATGTATGAAGAGAGATACCAATATCTACTATGGTTGTTTGTACATATTTTCTGTATATGTTGATGTAGATATATTTTGCTACCATGTTAAAACCTAAATGGCTATTTAATTGTTATGCGATGTAAAATATACATGTAAGTGTACACTTCAGAGAAAGAAAGTATTTTATAAAAAATGGGATTGGGGGGGGGGGGGGGGGGGATACATTATATCAATGAGCATGTAATTTTCTCTCACCAGTTGAAGGTTTATCAGTACTGTCTGTATCTGCACAATGCACAGAGATTTTCTCCATTTGATATTCAAACTTTTTACTGAATGTGCTCCAAAAAGATAATATCCTATCCCAGTTTATCATGGTAAAATCTACCTTTTCTCTTTTTTGTAGTAAGCAGTTGGAATCTTCAGGTACATGTTGTGATCATGTATAATGTAAGACTGCTTTCTATGTTTATATTCTCATCATGACCCTCAATTTTCAGGAAATAAATGTTATATGGCAGAATATTTGTATCAGAAAAGACAGATTTTGTAAATAAAATTGTGAGTAAAATTAGATTGCATTGCCTGAGTGGAATTTCATTTACTGCTCTACATCTTAATTTTCTAACCCTAATATGGGTGTTTGGACTTACTAATAAGAATAATAACAATAATTCCTGATGATATCCCTCACACCTCACTGACCTCAGAGTAGTTTACTAAATTGATGGCCTATTATAAGAGATGTTTTTATTTATTATGATAAGCTCTTACATCAGTATATTTGTTGGACTCATGGAAACATACTGTTGATGATTTTCAGTACTTGTTTCTATACCAATATGCAAGAGCAAACTGAAATTTGCTTTACTTCCTTGTATGTAAAACAGTACATGTGGCTAAGGGTAAATTAGATCTTGGGGACATCTGGTAGGCAGCCCAATAACAAGTGGTTACCAGTTATTACCAGTGTTCTTTGACTCCAGCACTTGTGTAACATGTTGAGAGAGGGGAGTAGAGAAAGAGATATATATATATATATATATATATACACTGAAACTCAGAGTTGCAACCATGTTCTGTTAGTCTGCCTTATGCAATATATATATATATATATATGTACATCTGAAATGGGAGAGCCTGGAGAGGAGAAGAAATGCTGCAAGCCTCCACCTCATGTACAAGATCCAAAACAACACAGTAGCCATCAATGCACATCATTACACAGCACCCATGATTGCCAGCAACACACGACAGTATCACTCAAAGAAGTTGCTGGCTATTCCATCCGGCACCCAGCTCTACCAGAACTCATTTTTCCCTCGGACAGTAACTATGTGGAATGCACTTTCAAAGATCACCCTTGACGCTACTTCACTGGAGGGCTTCAAGGGAGTGCTTCCACCAAGCATCTAGACCAAGAACTAGATAGTTTATTCCTCAGCACTACATCCTGACTTATGGATCCTGCTGAGTATCGTCGTAGAAGTAGAATTATATATATATATATATATGTATATATATATATATATATATATATATATATACATATATGAAATACGAGTGGGAGAGAGAGAGGGGAGGGGAGGGAGGAGATAGAGAGAGTGAAGAGAGAGAGATGGGGGGGGGGGGAGGGGGAGAGAGACTGATGTTATACTCCACCCCCTTTTATTTCTTGGGGGGGGGTGTAGTTGTTACATATAAAGGGAAACCAAGTTTCTATTTCGGAATAGTCATATAAATCAATAAATTGTAATTCAATTTCGAAGTTGACGATCACATGTACATGCACACGTGAAAGCGTAATGCTAAAAGAACAGGAAGTCGCCCTCTCTAGCTGTCTTGAACCCAGTCATTCTTGTGAGTACAAACCTTTACTTGCACCTTTAATTTCATCTTACGTAACAAGAAACATCTGTCACGTCTGTCTTTTGAGCTGGACGGAAGTCATTAAAACACATTTCCTCTTTGTCATCCGACATTATAGGGCCTACAATCACTTTTGTTCTCTCAACACTTGTTTTCTGTTTTCTTTAATCTTTAAGTTTCTCAATATCGACTTTATACTACCAGCTCATTTAATACTCTTTGTCCTTGCTCTCCGCTGTTTGTGTTTTCTTTATAAGTCTTCTTTTGTTGAACCAAGTTTAAGATCTACCCCCAATATTCAGAAGTAACACCCTATTGAGGTACCCTATGTGGTCTAATAATTTCCTGATCCGATATATTGATATCTTTCTTATCTGCCGCGCCACTCTTCCTCTCTCAAATCGGCTCTTTTGTCATGGTTTGATGGTGATTTGTGAATTTCTTGAACAAGAATATTCACACCTTTTCAGTATTCGCTGTAGTAAATATGTCTTTCCTGCTTGTCTTAATTAACAAATAATTTGGATTCTTGCGTCTTAAATGAACCTTCCTTCTCCTACCTACCTTTTCTTTTTCAATATTCACAAAAAAAAAAAAAAAATCAGACACTTACGACCCTACTCTAATACTGGTATCTATTTGCATTTTACCCACCACTATCATCATTTTATCTTATATATCTATATTTCTTTCTCAAGTTCATCTATGATATGATATGGAATTATATTACATGATTTTGTTCTGCGAAGAAAGAGATATGAACAGAGACTCAACACAAAATAATATATATTCATATGTTATCTGTTCATATATCTATTCATATATATATATATATATTCATATATCTATTCATATATATATTCATATATCTATCTATCTATCTATCTGTCTATCTATCTATCTATCTATCTATCTATCATTGTATATATCTATCCAATGGTATCCATTTATCTATTTCTAACCATGGATCTAGTAGGTCCATGTTCTAACTAACAACGAACGAACTGTCTGTATAATATCTCTCTCTCTCTCTATCCATAATTATATCCGTCGTTCTTTTATCTTTATTTTTCTTTATCGGGGCATATGCCACCCCTCCCCTCCTCCGGCGTAGCTATCCTACAGTATGCCTACATGTTCGGTGGACTCAGATGATCCGCAAGTCATTATTTAATTTTTAAAATCTAAAAAATAAAATAATCTTATGTTTATCTTCCATCTTTATGGAAAAAATATGATATAAACAAGACGAGCAACGGTCGAGAAACAGGTCAATTTTTACAAATCATATTAGGGGCACTATAGTCATTATAAGTGTTGGTGAATGGGTGGGGGGGGGGGGGTGTCATAGTTGCGAATCATTGCTCTAACATCTGGTCACATCTATGACTAAAGGGCGAAATACAAAAAAAAAATACAAATACGCCCCAAACTGGAATTTCGTATTGCTGTACGCAAATTAAGGGGGAGGGGGCCCCAGATATATTTGCCGTCAGTTTTTTAAACTTCTGTATTTTTTTATGTTTAAATTGTGATGTTAACTTTAATGAATGCCCCACCCCGTAATATGGGCATATAGGCCATTTCATTACCTTTATAATGATTAAGGGCGTTACCGGGGCGTTACCATAGAAATTATGTATCTAGTTCCCTGTCCATTTAATAGTATCACCTTTAGATGTGTATCTGTGCGAAAAATCCCTGTTTATGTCGTTTTATTCTATAAAACGATTTACGTGGAAAGAGCATTGTGATCATGATAGTAGTTTCCCCTTCGTTTTCCCGAAATGTTAACAAAGAATACAGCTAAGTGTACATACAGTCAAGAATCCGCAGAAATGGGTAGACATCCTCGGTACAGTCGGTCCTCGTATTGATGACGTCATACCTAAACTGACTGCACTGGAACATGACTAATGCATGCAATCCGTGCGTATGCGCTATGCATGCACTATTTCTACACAGAAGATAGACTGCATTGCATTGCTAGCGTCGAGATAACAACAAAATATTTCACGGGAAACGTATCAACGAACAAGGCATAACAGACGGCAGTGTCGTCTTCTTTCTCAAAACGGCAGTAGAAAGACGCTTTGATTGTTCAAGTTTCTGTTAACATCTTAACGTGAAAAAAATAGCAAAACAAGGATCGAAAAGAAAAATAAAAACTCGGGGGAAATGGCCACAACAACCAGCGTAGCGACGACCAGTGCTTTACGGGCCTTGCACGCAGAACTGATCAAACTCGAAAAAGAACCAGTGGAAGGTTTTATCGTCAAAGCAAATGATGAGAATTTGTTTGAATGGGAAGTTGCAATTTTTGGTCCACCAGGAACTCTGTATGAAGGAGGATATTTTAAGGTACCATTAAGAAATATTGGAGACTAAACTTTTTAACATTTTGATGATGGAATGAGTGTGTTTCTGATTGATGATGCCGATTCCTTGTCTTTGTTTGGAATTTGACGTGTGCATGCAGTAAGGTTCCAAGGAAGAGAACGTGTACGTGTACACACCATTGTCTGAGCTCGATCAGCTGTTTTGTCGTGTCCACCGAGGACATGACCTCTGTTTTGGGTCTTAGGCTTGGCCATTGTTTAGGGTATCAATCATCCAATGTTTTCATGTTCTTAGACTGGACATTTCATCGATATTCTTTTTTTCCCTCACAAGTATGATGTTGATTAATTACTCGGTGACTCACGTCACTGTCGGTGGAAAAATACAATTAGATCTAGGTCTAGACCGAAAGCTTCAGTCTCTATACCGTCGGTTGTTCCACTGAGACTACGTCTGGCTCCACTAGACCTCCGATTTTAGACAACAAATGTCAGTTTTATTAAAGAAATGACCCAAATCAGACGGTTATTTCTGTCTAATCGTGTACATGCCTGCCTTGCATTGAGAATTATGTGATTGTGAAAGGAAAAGAAAAGTGAGCTACGTACACATTAGACCGAAAGCTTCAGTCTCTATACCGTCGGTTGTTCCACTGAGACTACGTCTGGCTCCACTAGACCTCCGGTTATAGAGACTGAACGATCGCCTATGCCAGCCTATGTTGAAGATATCACGGCTAGATTTTAGCCGTTAGGCCCCTCCCACAAACATGAACAAACTTGCCACGGCCGTATTGTTATGCCCCCAAAATCCCCCAAAATGTCATTTTACCTCGTGCATATCCAATTTTACATTAGGCCTAGGCTATAATACATCGGTTCCACTTACTAACTTGATTGAAATAATCCGTTTAATGGTCCCTTTTAAGGAAATTATGGGTCAAAATCGACATCCATGTTGAAAATCTTGCAAGCCGTGTTAAACTCTCGCTGCCGTCAATCTCATCCCTTCTAGTCTACGCCGAAGGCAAAATGATTATGAAGGAAAAACTGTGCGCCATCTACACGTTCGTAATGGCGTTATCACAGTTTTTCCTTCATAATCATTTTTGCCTTCGGCGTAGACTAGAAGGGATGAGATTGACGGCAGCAAGAGTTTAACACGGCTTGCAAGATTTTCAACATGGATGTCGATTTTGACCCATAATTTCCTTAAAAGGGACCATTAAACGGATTATTTCAATCAAGTTAGTAAGTGGAACCGATGTATTATAACCTAGGCCTAATGTAAAATTGGATATGCACGAGGTAAAATGACATTTTGGGGGATTTTGGGGGCATAACAATACGGCCGTGGCAAGTTTGTTCATGTTTGTGGGAGGGGCCTAACGGCTAAAATCTAGCCGTGATATCTTCAACATAGGCTGGCATAGGCGATCGTTCTGTCTCTATAACCGGAGGTCTAGTGGAGCCAGACGTAGTCTCAGTGGAACAACCGACGGTATAGAGACTGAAGCTTTCGGTCTACGTACACATGTACTAGACTAGGTGTATTTTATATTCTGGCATTTTTGCACCCGAACCTACTGTACATTGTACCTTTGTTTAAATTAATGTACATGAACACAAAGTTACTTGGGTCAACAAATTCAACCTGAAATAGAATTTTAGATCAGTGAAATTAATAAAATGAATTCTAACATGTGCATGTACACATATGTTGAAGATTCACATCACATGTACATCTATTCTGTATAAAATGTATATGGTTGTAACTTGCATTCCTTTACATTTCTAGAGTTTATGTTTCATGTAATTTTTGTTATCGCCTGCAGTACATTATTCCTAAAAGATGCCCATATACATGTACTGTACATTATACTTAGATCAAATGAATCTACACCAAATTTAAGCAAAGTCAGCTCTTCATATTAGTAGATGTTTGCTTGTGTTGAAGGCGTTGAAGCAGAAAATTGGAGAAACATACACAGTACATCTACATGTACATGTACATTCGTACATGTGCATGTACAATATTGTACAGTGTACATGCATTTGTATGAATGTACATGATGTACTGTACATGTACAGTTGAACTATGTACAGGTGTTTGTATAAGTAAGAGACAGAGAATTTTAAAGGCAGTTATAATTGTTTAAACTTCAGATCATACTACTTAGTACTGTAATCAGCACTTGTTTTTTTTTAAATTGATATACATGTACATGTACATGTATGTACAGTATGTAAATTCACCTGTAAGAGTGTAAGAACAATATGTTTCTGTCTGTATTTCATTTGTTCACATTTTGGTTAAGTACAATTGTGATGTAGAGTCTACCTGTTCTAATGTGCAATTCAATTTATGGTAGTCAGTGTCTGTGAGCCACCTTATTACCGGTAACTTTATTTTTCTCCTTCTTTTGTTTCATTCTTTCTCTTTCATCTCTTCCTGGATTGAGTAGGCAATGATGAAGTTTCCACACGACTACCCGTATTCGCCTCCAACATTCAGGTTCCACACAAAAATGTGGCATCCCAACATCTATGAGGTAAGAAGAAAAAAGGGAAGGGTGGTGTATTCATTGCTTATAATTCACTACGTCATGATATTTGTACATTATTTCAGTAGTACATGTACTGTATGTGGGCCTACAGCTGGTTGCCTTTATGCACCACACAAATGAGTTGTAGGAATCTGTGATGCAAAAACAGTAGTACAATTGGATCAGGAATCAGGGCTTCATTTTTTGTAGGAATTTTGTATTCTTTGTAATGAAGGCCATTTCTTTATAAATGTACCACTAATAGAAATACTGCAGGCCTACTGTACGGCGTTGGGATAACTCTAACACGGGAGAACTCAGACCCGCTGCAAAAATGGTCAGTTTTTGTAGGTTTAGGGTGAGGGTTAGAGTTAAGGTAAGGGTAAAATGACAACAAACTGACCTTTTTTGCAGCGGGCTGAGTTGTCCCCGGGTCCTAGATAGCCCGGGTCCTAGATAGCCCGGGTCACGTCCTACTGTACAGTGTACATATTTAGCTGTTTCATACAGGATTGAATTTACTTCACAGCAGCAAGCAGTAGGCCTACCTCTGTCTCTCCCCCTTTCTCCCTCCCCTTCTCTCTCTCCCCCTTTCTCTCTCCCCTTCTCTCTCTCCCCCTTTCTCCCTTCCCCTCTCCCTCTCTCTCTCTCTCCTCCTCCCTCTCCCCCTCTCCCTCTCTCTCTCTCTCTCTCTCTCTCTCTCTCTTCTGTGCTGTGAATCATCAGCATCATCAACACTTCATTTCTGAAACATGTAGTTTATTCTGCATTGTAAACTTGCACTGTCATTGTTGTGGACATGTAAATAAATGAGACTGACTGTCCTGTTTTGAAATGGTACAATTATAAGTGTGGCTCGGGAATATAGGAGGGAATTCCCCCCATATATGTACCAATCTTTTGTGATGATTTTGGCGGGGAAATATACGCTGTACAAGTACCATAAATCTCAGTGTATAAGGCGCACCCCTATTTTGGGGGCAAAAAAAAAAAGAAAAAGAAAAAGAAAAAAAAAAAAAAGGAAAAAAAAAAAAGAAAAAGGAAAAAAAACAAAGGAAAAAAAAAATTTGGTTTGGTTGTTTTGTTGCCAAAAACCCACGTGGGGAAGGACCTTCATTTAAGATCGAGGTGCAGTTGAAGGCGCTGATTTGTGCTTGTGAACTTGTCACAAATAATATTGAACAATGTCGTTTTTAGCAGAATGTGTAAGATCATTAATGTAAATTAAAAACAATAGAGGACCTAGGATAGAAACTTGTGGTACACCATTTGTTATAGACAAACAAATTGAGGAATTATTATTATTATAAACTACATATTGAGATCTATTAGAAAGATTACTTTCAAACCAAGATGACAGACAAATTTGAGTGTTATAGTTTCCGAGTGGTGAGTCAACACACTGATTACTGAGCTGGGAGACATTGCCAGGCATAGCGCCATAAATCGAAACTAAAATTTAAATTTTTTTTTTTTTTCTGTACCTGTGTATAAGACGCACCCCCGACTTTCAATTTTTTTCTGTACCTGTCAATTTTTTTCGGCGGCAAAAAAGTGCGCCTTATACACGCTGGGATTTACGGTAACACACGCAGTAGGCTCTCATGTACCGGTATGTTGTTCATGAAGATGATCATCATACAAGATGCCACACATATAATGTACAGTAGGCCTATGCGTATAGTTCATGTAGGCCCAACGTAATGATCATCTGGATTTATAGATGGAGCTAAATTATAAAATACCCTCTCTAAGCGCTTTACAGATATCATTACCTCAGTCATCGGATTCATTCACACACCATATGCACCATCTCCCTTTCCTGGGGAGTATTCCTACCATATGGTTACTGGTATAGAGAAGTACATATAAACTGGATATTGTACCCTCATGTTGTACACTAATGTGTAATGACATAGACAATGTAAACATGCATTGTCAATTTGTCAGCCTATTGAAAAGGTATTGTAAACATGCAACAGTGTAAAGTACACTGTACATGTACATGTATGTGTAAATGTAATAAAAATTATACATACATGTACTGTAAATGTATACCCTGAGGCGCTGGTACATGTACATGTACATTAGTTCACAAAAGTGTACTGCATCATGTACATGTAACTTGAGTCCAAGTGTAAGTCCAAGTTAGTTACCGGAAACTGATTCATAGAGTGCCAAGTGTCAACCTTATCCCAGAAAAAAATCACCATTAATCAATAGTGAACAAAATAAATAATAGAACTTCAAGACATTTTTCCCCCTTTCATTTCATGAATGGAACAATTTTCTTTTATTAATAGAGTGTATTAACAAGTTGTTTGTGTGTATGTAAAGGTTACAGGCTTTTAAAGAGCTTGACACTTAAAATCAGTGGACTTAAAGGTACTATGTCCCTTTTGCAGCCAACCTCAAATTCTGTAGAACTTTGCAGGAATTATGAATATGTCATGTATGTCCTATCTGTGAAATTTAAACGTTAGCAGTGTCCTCATATTCAAATTATGCGAGGAAACCTGTTTACTTGCTAGACTTCACTGTCAGACACTATTGAGTGACTGACTGGCTTTTTTTTCTTCTTTGGTAATAACATACATGAAAAGAGTTGTAAAGGGTACATGAGCATTTGTCTACATCAATAACCCACTTCTTGTGATGGCTAAGATTAAACTGATTGAATATTTGCGCAGCATAAAACGTATGACCATTCGGTACAATTGTCTGAAAATCAAGACTATTACTTTTGGACTCTATAGCCCTAAAGTCGATTTGAAGACATTTTCAAGCCCAACCTTTTTTAGGGAAGTTCTAAATTAGTATTATCTTTCAAATGCAGAACTTGAAATTTAACTTTTTCATTTTTTGGGCCTGCAAATGGGACATAGTACCTTTAAAGAGAAGGTTGAGTTCTGGGAAGAGATAAAAAATAATTTGTGAGCATTGTCATTGTTATTATGCAAGGGTGGAAGAACATCAGATTAAACATGTTCCCTGAAAAGCATGGCTCTTCAAATGCCTTTATATTCTAAATATGACATGAAACATCGTAAAAATCGGGGGTAGGTTTTTTTCGCCATTTGCTCGTGTTGTCCCATATACATCATTCTGTGTACAGTGCTTGTAACTTTGCCAAGATTTGGCCAAATTTCTTATCATTTTGATGATTCCAGAACCTTGCAATACAAACAAATACTTATATACTAGATGATCATCCTTTTCTGATAGATTCCACACCGTTTCTTGTACTATGCAATCACATGACCAGAACTCAACTTTATCTTTAAGTTAAACCAAGTCTGTTTGAAATCTGGTTAACACGTAAATTTAATCTGAAATTTAAACTTGAACTAAAGCAAAATCTAGAAAGTTGTGAGCAGAGCCTAACCTTGTTGGTCTCTGGCTGTGTAAAGTACAGAGCCTTATGGGGTGCAGTAGACCGTGAAGTCTGCATAGTCTCACAGTGCAGACACTGTTACATGACTGACAAGGGTTTGTGCATGCGTACTAGTTTAACTTTTTTGTCCATTTTATGAATAGGAGCCATACATGTACATGAACCTACATTCATGTGCATGTATTCATGTTGTAAGTATGTTCTCTGACTCTATCATTTCCCTGGTATGACTTTCAACTACAAGCCGCTAATAACGTCATGCTTACATTGTACATGTACACGCTGAATGTCAAGTCACTTTATATTACTGTCTTAAATACAGTGTGCAGTACTTGTACAAGTATACTGTAGGTCACTAGTCATAGACCCCGTTCTCACTCACTTTGAAAGTGGTCTTAGTTAGACCGCTTCAGACCGCTCCAGAGGAACGGGTCTTGAGGAACGGTTTGCGAGCGTTCACACTCCGAGCAGTTTTTATGGCTCAAACTTAACGAGTCAAAGTGGTCTTGTTGCTATGGCAGCTCAGGTAGGCGGCCAGGCGGGTCAATTTTTTCGCGCACGGAATACAAACCGTATGTGCCGTACTACATGTTTCGCACCGAAGGTCACTAGCTCACTTCCGTTCAAAGTACGCTTTCCGTTCACATTGCATGTTAGAGCGCTCTGGAGCGCTCTTAATAAGACCCGCTCCTCAAGACCACCTCGGAAGGTGGACTTCTGGAGCGGTCCAGAAGTCCGCTTCCTGGACCACTTTGAGCGTTCTCACTCACCTAAGAACCGCTCCTGAGGAGCGGGTCTTAGTTAGAGGCTAGAGCGCTCCAGAGCGCTCCAACGAAGTGAGTGAGAACGGGGTCATACAGTACATGTTTTACATGTACAACATTATTCCTTTAGAGAGAGGAACCATTGTGTGGTTTCAATGGTTTGGCTCAATAACTTTTGATTTTTAGCCCCATAGTACAATGTAGATGCATGAATATTGTGTAGAAATGGCAAAAATTACTGCCCACATTGTGTTCATATTTCTTTTCTTGCATGATCATATCGGGTTTGATATCATGATTTAAAAAAGAAAAACAAAATTGAAATCCTTAAATTGGCAACACACTCAACATTATTTTTTTTTAAATACAAATTGGCAACTTTTTCAACTTGTTGACAAAGTTCATACTTGTACATTCAGAGAGAGACATTGCATTTTCTTCAAACAGTGTAATAAAAGAAAATTATTATTGTTTTGCCGATTTAAAGGACAACATGTGATCAGTGTAGCCATTAAAAACATCCCATCCTGAAATGGATCACCTTTGAGTTGATAGACGAAACCTTGATGTAAAGGTAACCTGATCTGTCATATTATTTGATTTAATATCATGACAATATGGTAAACAACTAAACATGTCATTCATCTTTCACAATTATCCAACCAAGAAAAAAAGCCAGCGGAAACATGGATTTATCATTTATTATTTATGTTTGTTGTAAATTTTCTTTGCAAGAAGAGATTGTACAGTATGTACATACTGAATGTGTTGTGGTCGAGAGGATATGTCACTGGACTGTGGATCACAAGGTCCGCGGTTCGAGTCCCGTCGCGGCACTAATGTCCTTT